GGGGGGGGGGGGGGGGGGGGGGGGGGGGCAAGTTCCTCTTTAATCTGTTTCTTACTATTTTCAACTCCTACACAAGACACTCGAGTGCATGCAAGAGTAAGAAGTTATGGTCATACAAAATCCTGTAGAAACAAGTAAGACAGTTCTCACATGCTATACTTTTTACATCAGTGGGGTCTTTATTCTCAACAAATCATCAGTGATATTAGGAGAAATGTATGGTTTCTTTAGACTGGATCACTTTCTTTGAAATTAGGAAGTTCAACTTTAAATTGAACAATATCAACATCAGTCAACTGTGGTACAATTTGCAAAGCTTCTGTTGTAATGTCACTTTCTATGATCTAACTAAACTGTTTGGGGTCTAAGGACATATCACAGATCAATATTTAATTTTATGGAACTTTTGTTCCAGGTAGGTTGTCACCTGATCAATGACTATATAGAAAACTCAATATATCAAGTCAGAAAGCGGTTCATTCTGTGCCAGTTGTCTAGGCATTCTTTCTTACGTTTTCTGAGGTAAATGGCTTTCAATCACAGCATTAACAGAATGCTTCAGAAGCGTGCTGCTTGATTTTGTGACAGATTATTCCACCAGAGTAGTTAGGTTTCCAAATTAATCCGTGAGCATCAGAATTGAATTTGTGGCAATTTCCACCATTCATTATACCTTTAACATTTACTCCATATGTTTACAGAAACTCTGCACCTGGAATAACAATATTGAAGCTTTGCCCTAAGGAAAATAAACCAAAATAGGAAAACTCATTACCTTTATACAGGGAGGAGTGACGAATGGGGAGGATCCCAACAATATTGTCGGGATCACTCCTCAGTACGAAGTCCGCCCCCGCCCGACTCCGCCCCGCCCCCAGCCGCCTTCGTCCTGCCCCCAATTCGGTCACCGAGCTGTGTGGAGTAGGGAGGACGGAGAAGGCCCTTGCTCGTCACCGGAAAGGCATAGAGATCGATGTCCTCACTGTTTTTTGTTTATTTGATTGGACAGCTTGGACCAATGGCGCTTTGCCATTGGTCCAAGTCATCCACAGAGATCAAGCCTCTAACAGTAAGTTGAGGCTGTTGCAGCTCTGGTTTCAATATGTTAGGCTACACAAGTAGTGGGGAAGCCCGCTGCTGTGTAACCTAACATAGCTGTCAAAAGCCAAAAGCAGCTCTCCTTCCATGACTCTCTCTCTTCTCTCTCTCTCCTGGCTGTCTCTTATCACTTTCTCTGCTGGTCATCTCTCCTCATTCTTTCCTGGATGTCTCTCCTCACTCTCTCCTGGCTGTTTATTCTTTCTCTCTCTCTCCTTTAGCTGTCTCTCCTGGCTATCTCTTATCGCTCTCTCTCTTCATTGTCTCCTGGCTGTCTCTCCTTACTCTCTCCTGGTTGTCTCTCCTTTAGCTCTCTCTCCTGGCTGTCTCTCCTCATCCTCTCCTGGCTGTCTATCCTCTCTCTCCCCTTTAGCTGCCTCTCCTCTCTCCCCTGGCTGTCTCTTATTGCTCTCTCTCATGGCTGTCTCTCTCTCCTAGCTGTCTCTCCTCACTCGCTACTGGCTGTCTCTACTCTCTCCTAGCTGTCTCTCCTCACTCGCTACTTGCTGTCTCTGCTCTGTCTCCTGGCTGTCTCTCTTCTCGCTCTCTCTCTCCTGGCTGTCTCTCCATGCTCCCTTCTGTATAGTCTCAAAAAAAATGCTGTGCAGTACTAGATTGTTCAGGTGGCAACCCTAGTTAGGAGTAGTAAAGCAAAATCTTTTATATGAAGGTTTTATATTTATAATAACTATGGAAAGCAGCACACCAAAACAAAATGCTGTGTGGTACTAGATTGTTCAGGTGGCAACCCTAGTTAAAAGTAATAAAGCAAAATCTTTTATATGAAGGTTTTATATTTATAATAACTCTGGAAAGCAGCAAACCCTGGTTCCGGCAGAGAGAGCTAAGACGAATACTATCCGGTTTTGTTAGTTGATCCTCAGGGTTATTTAAGAGATGTCAGCGTTGTCATAGTAACGCGTACTCCGCTACGGCCTCCAGTGGCCTTCCCAGAATGCCTCGCTTCTCCCTTATACGAAGCGGAATTCCTCTGATGCACGCTATGCAGTACATAGTCCACGGGCACGTCACTTCCCATAACATGCACTGCTTCTAGTGTAGACAGCTGCTGTGCGGCCTGAGAGAGAGACGCTGCAGGTGGCTATGCTGTGGATGCTGCGCTGCAGGTTATGGCTTCAGCTGGCGGTGTGACCCGAGCAATCAGACTCCCTGGCAGTCACGGCTATGCTGTGGAGTTCTCCCCTTACGTCCCATCCCGGCTGGCCTGTGCAACCTCCCAGAATTATGGCATATCAGGTGAAGGAGGCTTTACTGCCCTGATCGCTCTTCTAGACGAGGCTGACGTCCCTGGGATCAGTGTTCAGTTCATGTTACTTCTTGAATGCAGCCTTCTGTCCTATAAGGTCTCTGAATGTAGCTTTTAAAATCAGTCAGCAGATTGATTCAGCATTAAAAAGAGCAACACAACATCAACGTAGAGAAGAGTTTTGCTTTTGTCATGTTGTGTGAATTGTTTATATCGTTGCATATTAGCATAATACCATACTGGTAGGGGGGTCACACAAGCACTTGTTGTCTAAAGCTCACCATACACTTTACGATCCAACTACAATCAGCTTTAGATTTACTAAAACTGTAATACAAATGCCCATCTGATCTGTACAATCAGTATGTATATGATCAGGGAGGTCCTTGCACTACACCGTTGTTATTAGAGCTAAAGGAGATTGTAAACTGGGATGTGTGTGGGTTTGGTATGAACCTTCCCTTAGCTGTCACTGACACCCTCCTTGCTGGGCTTAATCTGTTTGGGCTGGGGCATTCCCCACCCGGTTGTTACTTGTAGCTGCAAGGTGGGGAATTCCCTGGCTGCAGCTAAATGGGCCAGGAGGGGTTTGTGTCACTGACAGTTGTGGGCTGGCTTGGTCACCAAACACTGACAAAGTTGTATAGTGAACTTTGTCAGCTGAAAAGCTCATCAGCACTCGCTCCAGCCTGTATCCACTACTGCTGCAGTGATGGAATGTCCCTCTGCATCCTCTTTACCATAGGTGGGGGAATCTTCCCTACGGAGGCATTGAATTCTGACAGCCAACACTTGCAGCTGTCAGAACGCCTGATCATTGTCGGCATCTGATTGGCTAGATTCACTTTTCCACACGACAATTTTCACCGAGGCTCTTCGGCAACGCGTTAAAAATGCTTTTTAAAGTTAGGTAGGGAAGTGGTAGAACCTCTGTCAGCGTTTAATTGTTGTCTGTTTCCCTCTCGCCAAAACAAAAGGTGTGGGAAATTCTCTCTAACGGAGTGCCAGCTAACAGTAAATCCTGACAGGGGTTTTAACTGTTCCCCATTCTATCCCATGCTCAAAAAAAACAAGTATATGAGATGCCTATGCTCCTTGTCTCCGTCTAGTGGACATAATATGCTGCACATTTTCTTCCCAGAGCTGTTTGCTGCGTGAACAGTTTATAAATAAACCCCTATGTGTATTTTTAAAACATAAATTATAATATTCAGTACTGTATTTATGTGCTTATTTGGCTAAAGTAACTAAATATTTACTCACATTGTTTACTTCTTTGGTTTCTTTAGGGAGTGGTACTCTTCTTTTATTAGAACAAAATGAAGCTGGACTTGTTTGCATTAAAAGGTAACTTATTTTATGCTATATTTGTATATTTAAGAATTGTGATGGTTAATGTAATATTTTACAAGTTTGCAATCAAAGTTTCTTGTTAATATTAGGGATGCACTGATATATATCGGCCGAAAGTGACATTTTTTTGCCGAAATAACTGTGCATCCGTTCTTTCTCTCCTCCCCTCCCCGCTGGGCGCTGCTCTGTGTCCCAGTGGGGAGGAGAGAAACTGTGACAGGCGGCCAAGCGCTGTGGGAGGAGAGCGCTGTGAGTGCACAGCGTTTCTCCTCTTCGCACCGCTCAGCCTCCTGTCACAGATCAGAGGAGAGAGGCTGTGTGGGCGGAGATAGCCAGTGCTGTCACAGGAGGCCGGCGGTGCGGTGGAGGAGTCAGCTGTCATTTCGAGCGCTCCTCCCCACACTGCTCGCTCAGCCTCCTACGGTATGACAGCTGTCAGGACGGAGAGCGAGTACAAACACTCAGCGATCAATGATCGCTGAGTGTTTGTAGATAATTGAGGACAGAGTATGGTTACTATATCCTTAATTATGAATGGGAAGTGATCTACAACACCTCCTGTTTATTCATGATTGTGGTTATAGTAAACATACTCTGCCCTCATGTTATCAATGAACAGGGACACTCAGTATAGAGAATTCCTGTTCATTTATAACAGGGGCTGCAGAAAAAGAGATTGAGGACACAATCTCTTTTTCTATTTTAAAAGGGAAATATCAGGGGTCTGTTTAGACCCCTGATATTTCCCTAAAGCTCCTAAAAGTAAAGTAAAACATACAAATATTTAATAAAAATAAATAAATACAAATAAAATATTAAAAAAATGTAAAGTTTATAAAAAATAAATAAAAATTAAATATTTGAAACAATTTGAAAAAGTTAGAAATATTTCGGCCAAACATTTGTTTTCATTTTGGTTTCAAAATTTTCATTTTAGTGCACCTCTAGTTAATATGCACATAACGAGTGTGTGGCGTAAACCCACATGCTGCTGTGTACTGTAGTGTGTTTTTAAAATTTCTTGCAGTGCTTGTTTTTTTCTCCTTTTTTAAACTTCTACGTAATTATGTAGTATAGCAACACATTGCGTCACATTGGCGCTCATTGTAACACATTTTTGTGCACTGGGCTGCAATTAAATGCAGCATGACCAGAGTTTTTCCCAGCACACACCATCACAATGCTTTTGAATGAACTGGGCACATAAACAGCAAAAGTATTTGCTGTGTCATTGCATTAAGCCTGTGTTGATCAACTCAGATCAGTGCACCTCAATGCACTAGGTGTGAACAAGACCTTAGGTGAACCTCTAGTTCAGAGTAAAGTAACAGATTCCTTACATAAAATGTATTCCATGCACTACTCATTTTCCCTGCGCTCCCTGCCACTTTGTTCTCCTGCTGGACCCCCAGCAATTTGCAGTATGTAAGTTCTAGATCAGTTTGGGTGGGAGTTTGCACAGAGCAAAGGTCCCTCCCTCACTCTGGGCGGAGTAACAGATTCCCTAGATATCCCTCCCCATGCACTACTTATACTCCCCACACTTCCCTGCCACCTTGTTTTTTTTCACTGGACCCCTAACAATCAGCTATGTGTACGTTCTGGATTGGCCTTTTAGAAAGGTCCAAATATTTCCTACATGCACTTCCTAGTGATGTTTCCACTTGCCTGCATTGTGGTAGCTGTGCCTATCTCTCAGTATGCAGAAAAGTCATGGTCCTGGTGCTGGTAAATACTTAATAGCCCTGGCATTCCAATGCCTGCCTCCACCCCAGCAATAGCTATCAACGACCTAGTCGACAGCGAGCTTTTTTTCTTTGACCTTGGCAATCAGGTATTTTCCAGCCCTGATATTTTTTATGGACATATAAGGCTTGTACTTAGGGCACTATTTTAACTTGTTGCCTTCCGCCCATTGTATTGGAACGGACTGACGCCTTACAGCTATCAGCGTGTTCACGTAAATAGACGTCTTTTTTCTTTTTATTGCTCGCATGCGCCCCCTGGCGTGCGCCCAAGCAAACAACTGTAATCACACTGTTTAAACAACTTGTTGCAGAGCCAGTGAAATCGGCTCTATTCTGTGTGATCACTGTGACCAATCACAGCAGATCACTAAATGTAAATAATGCCTGCAGTTTCCAGCTTTCTCTCCTCTCCTCTCCTCTCCCACACTGTGCGGTTGTGAAAGAAGAGAGGAGACTTAGTTGACAGTAGAGCTGCAGCTAACGATTATTTTCAAAATCGATTAGTTAGCCGATTATTAAGTTCGATTAATCGGTTAATCGGATAAACAATAAAATAAAGTTTAAAAAATGGCTCCAGTGATAGAACTACTAGTTTGTATTGAGGTTGTAGTCCATCACAGGAGCAAGCTTGGAGCGGTGGAAGTAAAAAAGAAAAAAGATAGTGTGGTGTGCAATATAGTGAAATGGAAAGTGTAAAATTATACAGCAATGAATGCAGAATGGCACCGGCTATAGAGGACAACAAATCCCAGCAATAGTACATAATAGCTGGCGGCATTCTGCATTGCGCTGTATAATGTACTATTGCTGGGTTTTGTACTCCTCTATAGCTGGTGGTATTTAGCATTGTACCACTTTATAATGTACTATTGCTGGGATTTGTTGTAGTCCTCTATAGCTGGTGGTATTCCGCATTGCGCTGTATAATGTATTATTGCTGGGACTTGTAGTCCTCTATACAGCGCAATGCAGAATATCACCAGCTATAGAGGAGTACAACAAATCCCAGCAATACATTATACATACAGTGTATAATGCATTGCTGGTATTTGTATTCCTATGTATAATGTACAGTACAATGTACCATCAGCTATAGAGAAATACAAATCCCAGCAATACATTATAGAGCACCATGTGTGGGAAAGTGCAGGCTTACCTGACCAGTCTTCCAGCAACTTGCTTCTGAGATTGGACCTGTCTATCAGCGGCTGTCATCCCCCCACCCCTGCTCCTCCTTACTACATCTCCCCGCGTGCCTTGCCGATCGTGGATGGGCAGGAAATGTGAGGCGGGGAGGAGGTGCGGCGTGTGGAGCGTGGATGCGAGCGGGTCTGGCAGCGGCGAGCGTGAGGTGGGGAGGAGGTGCGGCGCACAGCGTGTGGAGCTGTGAACAGGGCCAACTGATTGGAATTCGATTAATCGATTATAGGAAAAGTTGACAACTTTTTCAATAATCGATTATAATCGATTATGTCGATTAGTTGTTGCAGCCCTAGTTGACAGTGACAACTGTTATGAAGAATACTGTGTTAATCAACACCTGTTCCAGCACAAATTTTGCCACAGTGCCAGCCTGTCCATCTGTCAGAGTCCCGGTTGCCATTAGTGCCACCTTTTTTTCCCCCCAAGGAAATGTAGCAGAATACACTTTGATCTAAATTCATGAAGATTATTTATGTGCAATGTTTCATAGTTTAATATAAGGAAAACAGTTTTTGTTTCAAAATTTTTGTTAATTTCTCCTTAATATAGTGGAGAATAAAAGTCACGAGGTGGCCCAACGAAGTCATCTCGTTGAGTCATCTCGTGGCCCAACAAAGTACTGATGGGGTGGTCATAATAATCTGGCCACAAAGTGTACATCCATGACAGTGGTGAGGGCTTGAAATGTTTTTCCAATGAATAAATCATTGCATCTCTGGTTGTAGTCCATGTACACTTTACTATAAAAAAAAACAGCCTCACAAAATGATTTTCTTTTGTTTCATATTAGAAGGGACGTTAATTTCTCCACTGGATGTTTACTGGTGTCTATAACTCAGTTGGGGAGAATTTCCCCAGCTCAGTTCTGATATGATAGCCAGTGTGAGCTAGATGGCCTTGCCCATACAATAATATTAAGAATCCACTAGAGGGCCTGTAACACTATAATGATGATAGTATATTATGTACTTCAGAGCGTGTAGACCACATTTTCTCACACCTAAGATTTGGCTGTCACAATATGGCTGGGAGTCGAGTAAAATCTTCCCTCTGAATTCATTGACAGTAATATTGATTGGCAAGGGTATTAAAACTAGTTTTAATATACAGAAAAAAAAAACTTGAATTTATACTAATCGGTTTTGACTGAAGATCTGTTTTAACCCATACAATTAGAATACATCCTTGTTCTGCTTTTTTTTTCTAGACTGTCAGTTGTCTATTTACAGTATCCCTTTCTTAAAACCTTTCATTTCATATTATGGTCTCCCACAGCTTTAATTGGAGTGATGCACTCTTTGATGTGACCTGGAGTGAGATCAGTGAGAACATTCTTGTTACCTCTAGTGGAGATGGATCTCTTCAGTTGTGGGATGCATCCAAACCACAAGGACCTTTACAAGTATTCAGAGAGCACATCCAAGAGGTATGACATAGATACTGTTTTTTTTTTTTTAGAAATTGGTACAAAGTTAACAGGGTAAAAAAAAAACAATATATCAGAAATGTAAAAATAATTTTAAATAGTTGTTAACGATTAACAGGAAGTGGGTGGGATATATTAGGCAGCCAGTGAACATTTTTTCCCTGAAGTTGATGTGTTGGAAGCAAAAAAAAATGGGTAAGGAGGTGTTGACTTGGCCTCCAAATTCTCTAGATCTTAATCTATGGGATGTGCTGGATAAACAAGTCTGATCCATGGAGGCCCCATGGAGCAATTTACAGAACTTAATGAATCTGCTATTGACAGCTTGGTGCCAGATACCACAGCATACCCTCAGAGGTCTAATGGAGTCCATGCCTCGATGGGTCAGGGCTGTTTTGTTGGCAAAAGGGCGACCTAATCAATATTAGGCGGTGGTCATCATGTTATGACTGATCAGTGTATGATATTTTGCTGATTGGATTTACATACAGTATACTTTAAAGGAGAACTATGGGGTTAGGGCTTTTCCCCATAGTTCTCCTTAGGGTAACGGGAGGACACAAACTAGCGTCCTCCCGTCACCCTAAGCTCAGTACACCGCAAGCTACAGCTCGCGGCATACAGAGACGCCGCAGCTGAAGTGGATCCCGACAATTATGTCTGGATCCGCCCAGCTGTGTGAGTGACAGCTGGCTCTGCCTATCTATATTTAATTTTATAGAACTTTTGTTCCAGGTAGGTTGTCACCTGATCAATGACTATATAGAAAACTTAATATTAAAGGAGAACTATGGGTCAGGGCTTTTCCCCATAGTTCTAATTAGGGTAACGGGAGGACACAAACTAGCGTCCTCCTGTCACCCTAAGCTCAGTATACCGTGAGCTACAGCTCGCAGTATACTGAGACGCTGCAGCCGGAGCGGATCCCGACATCGATGTCGAGATCCGCCCAGCTGAGTGAGTGACAGCTGGCTCTGCCTATCTAGAGGCAGAGCCAGCTGTACCCGCCTCCTCCCCCGTCTGTTCCGCCAGTCAGCGCTGGAGGATCGGACAGGGGAGGGGGGAATACAGTCCCTCCCCTGTCACGGCAGAGAGCCGTGACAGGATCGCGAAGTGAGCGAACGCCGGTATGTGTTCACTCACCTCCCGATCTACTGAGTCGACCTGTGACAGTTTCATTGTCACAGGCTGGCTAGAACTATGAGGTGAGTGAAAAGCACTCACCTCATAGTTCTCCTTTAAATTTGTAAACTGCACTCTCATAGTACAGATTTGAAAGGTAAATTCCAGGTTAAGGTTAAACACAGAAATCAAAGCCACGCTGTATTCATTATGAAGTCATCAAATTTATTTTTAAATTCAGCTAGTGTTATTACCTGCATTTCGTTTGATATGGAATGAACCAAGATCATTAGCTTATAACAGACAGTATAATTTGTCAGCAAATACATTTCTTCTCCAATTCTGTACCCACAATTGTTGATCTTCAACTCTTGGTAGTAGAGTTCAGGTACCCCCCAACCCACAATGAAGTGTCTGGTGCATGTGCAACTTATCAGGCTCAGGCATTTTCTAAGGGCTCTGGGAGGAAGTGAGATAACAGAACCCTCTGACAGGTTATACTGGTTTTTCTATACTTACAATTATGTGCAAGCATTGTTACTTAACTTGTTTTAGAAAATACCAGGTTTCTTTGAATGTGTTATGAGCAGTGGCGGAACTACCGCCGGTGCGGGCACACCAGGGCCTCAGCCTCAGGGGGGCCCAGCACAGCCCTCGCCTGTGCAGATGGTATTCAGCGGCCGGCAGGCACCCCATCTCTGCGCCGTGAGTGTCGGATCATCCAATATACAGAAATGCTATAGTTGTATAAAGTATTGCTGGGATGTGTAGTCCTCTATAGCCTGTGCCATTCTGCATTGCTGCAAATATTAGGGACGCACCGATATATCGGCCGCCAAAACATCAGCCGAAAATGGCACTATTGACTATATGCCTTAAGTGCCATTTTTTGGCCGATACAGCGGTGCACCCCTGCTTTCAGCGGTGCAGCGGTGCACCCCTGCGGGGAGGAGAGAAAGTGTCACAGACGGCCGAGCGCTGTGGGAGGAGAGCGCTGTGAACAGCCAGCGTCTCTCACCCCACACCGCTCAGCCTCCTATCATAGTCCGGTGTGCTATCGCAGATTGAAACGGTCGTCACAACTTTGTGACATGTAGTTTTTTCTACAATAAAAAGACTTTATAGTTGAACTAATATTGGAGTGCCGGTGTCCCTGTTTCCTGCTGTTACATGACGGTTGCCGTCCGTCGACCACCGCAGCACCCAGATTCTTTCATTGGAGACAAGCGGACAGGAGTGTGATGGGTTCATGGATCTAGAATGTGTGACCAGTCACATGGTCACACATTCTAACGTAGCCACACCCATTTTTCCCCGGGGTAACAATGTGTGGCCGGCAAAACGTGTAGAATTCAAAGCTTTCTCCACTTTTATGTACTGGTATGTGTACTATATCCTCAATTATGAATGAATGGGAAGTGATCTACATCCCCTCCTGTCCATTCATAATTGTGGTTATAGTAAACATACTCTGTCCTTTCTCCGAAAAAATATTTGAGCATATTTATTTATTACAATCTATTTTTTCAACTTAATTTTTTGTGTTTGCCTCAGGTGGTGTGGATTGGGGAGTTTGTGGTTTTTTTGGGGGGGGGGGCAAAAAAAAATAATCTTGCTCCAGGGCCCTTTAGGGTGGTAGGCAGTCACTTAGTGAGTGAATCCAATTCTGAAGAGACAAGTCTGATACAAAAGTATCATTGTAATTAAAGTGGTTACTCACTCCTTATGTTGCTTCAGTGTAGTGATCTACACAGGTCCCAAAGTATGGCAGTCCACACGAATTGATGGTTTCTCAGCAATCACCCATAAACAGGGAGAGGAGAGATATCCATAGATGGTTTCAAGTTGAATGATCATGGAGGTCACTCTAGACCGTTCATCAAGATGAAGTTTACTCCACAGAATTCCTGGGTGTAGGTGCACAAGAAGGCTGTAATCTCACTTGTATGTAATGCCGGAGATATCTCCTGTTCGTTCCATTGCACAGTGCGGCCAGATGGATGTGTCTACGAATGACGGGACTCTTAGCCTGCAGACACCAGATCCAGTTGCCGCTGTAGTGTGCAGATGACCCAGGCTTGGTTCACTCGATAGCGAAGCCTCCAACCCGCCACGGGTTTAAAAGTATGTCAGATTTGTCAGAGCTGTGAGGGAAGTGGGAAGCATGCTAGCCCTAAAGGGAATTATTTTATATAGTATACTTTTGGAAACCCAGGAACTGACTTTACCTGCTTTGATCGGTTACGCCACTCCATTTCCCTTGTGTGTATAGAAATCATACACAAACAATCTTTCGAGCGAAAATCGAACAGTTGATGGTACAGCACCAATTTCGTTTTTACTAATGCGAACAACATTTTTTTTACGGTCAGGTAGGAGATTTTTTCTCTGACCTAAACAAAATTCGATGCATAAACACAGCACGTGTGCAAAAGGAAGGCTGCCTAGGCAAAAATTGGTTGCTTAATATGGCTAACAAACGATTTCTGAAATCGACATTTGATTATGCTTGAGGGGAATTCTAGCTATGGTCCAACAAGGCAGAAACAAAACCTTTCGATTGAAAATTGGACAATGTTTGGGCACCTTTACCTTATCTTTCAGTGGCAGTCCACATGTAATCATACAGTACATGGTATGATTATCTTCTCTTCAGCATGGACAGACAGGCTGCATCCAGGGACAATCATCTATCCAGAACCACAGGTAATCGTCCCATGTGCCCCCATATGAACGGGGCCTTAAGGTGGAATTATAATATAGAAATCTTTTCAAGCAATAGCAATAATTTGTTTTGGTTTATTTGACTTCTTGACTTCTTTTGTGAGCTTGTATCTACATTTTTGGCTAGTGGGTATGATCTTACATATATGCTACACAATGCTTACTGCCTTCAATACATTTTGAATGCCTTAAGCTGAACTTCAGAAAAAAAAATTGTTTTGATTGGTCCGGCAAAGTTTAATGCTGGATATACAATGCCTGTATCAGTAATACATATTTCCCAGCTAGCTAATCAACATTGTTTGAGTTCTCACATGTCTGGACCAGAGCTATAAAATTGACAATTCAAGGTTTGGTAATTTGTCAAGGTTTGGTAATTTGGTAATCTGCAATGAAATGCTTCCTACCTCACCTATTACTGAGATGAATCTAGTGTTCTTCATAAATTAAATACTTGGTACTTTCTGAGTATGGAACACATATTTCTCTCTCCCCTTACTTCCATGATGAAGCATTTAATGCCTGAGCAGCCATTTGCCAGGTATCAGAACTTTCACAATTCCGTCCTCTCACCCTATTCTACTGGTTTTTATTCTACCGAACTGTTGTAAGTACAGCCTTAGAGCTGCGTGTTTTTACTATTAAATAACATTTTTACACTATGGAGGCGCGCTCTCTTTTGTTCATTTTCTCACAGACTGGTGGTCCATCTAATCTGTGGGAGCTGCCTCCATCGTGTTTGCTGTATTTTTACTGCTGGGCTCTTTTTGGATTTGAAGGCGCCGGTATTGTTTTGCAATTTAGCTTTTCCATGATATCTTGGTGTGCATATGTACCATGGCCTTTCCAAGCCAAACTCTACTGGATAGCTGGAATGTGCCATACCCAAAGGAATGAATAGGGAACAGTTTTTTTTTAAAGGCCATTGCACACTTGGGATTTTGAAGCTGGAGGTACTGTTCACACCTCCAGCAACCCACCAATAGATCTCCAATTTTGGTATTTCACAGAGATCATTACAAAATTATACAAAAATCATATCGGTACATATTTGAAGGAAGCATTTGGTGGGTAGATGATCAATAACTCTACACATTTTTTATATATTCTTAGACCAATAGTCCACTTCAGGAGGAGGTGCATATGGAGTATAA